TCAGTCCACTCCCTTTCTAGGCCCCTGATTCTATTATAATCACCAGTTCATTCTGTTCATCAGATTATTCACTTGATTTTCAGATTCACTTGATAGATGTGTATTTGTTGTTCAAAATTTGTATCTTTACCTTTTTCTTCTTCTTCCTCTTCTTAAAGGATACCTTTCAGCATTTCATATAATACTGGTTTGGTGGTGATGAACTCCTTTAGCTTTTCCTTATCTGTGAAGCTCTTTATCTGACCTCCAATTCTGAATGATAGCTTTGCTGGATAAAGTAATCTTGGTTGTAGGTTCTTGACATTCATCACTTTGAATATTTCTTGCCACTCCCTTCTGGCCTGCAAAGTTTCTGTTGAGAAATCAGCTGACATTCCTATGGGTACTCCCTTGTAGGTAACTGACTTTCTTTCTCTTGCTGCTTTTAAGATTCTCTCTTGGTCTTTTGCTCTTGGCATTTTAATTATGATGTGTCTTGGTGTGGTCCTCTTTGGATTCCTCTTGTTTGGGGTTCTCTGCGCTTCCTGGACTTGTAAGTCTATTTCTTTCACCAGGTAGGGGAAGTTTTCTGTCATTATTTCTTCAAATAGGTTTTCAATATCTTGCTCTCTCTCTTCTTCTGGCACCCCTATAATTCGGATGTTGGTACGCTTGAAGCTGTCCCAGAGGCTCCTTACACTATCTTCATATTTTTGGATTCTTTTTTCATTTTGCTTTTCTGGTTGGGTGTTTTTTGCTTCTTCGTATTTCAAATCGTTGACTTGATTCTTACAATCCTCTAGTCTGCTGTTGGGAGTCTGTATAATATTCTTTATTTCAGTCAGTGTATGCTTAATTTCTAGTTGGTCCTTTATCACAACATCGAGGGTCTCATTAGATTTCTTGTAGATCTCATTAAGTTTATCGGCAGTTTCTAGAAAATTATTTAAAGACCTTAAAAGTGTGGTTTTGAACTCTATATTCAGTAGTTTGCTTTCCTCCGTTTCTGTCATTTGTGTCCTTTTTCTTTGTCTCGGCATTTTTTATGCTTCGCTGTGTCGATAGAGTGGCTTTCTGTGCTAAGTGTCCTTAGGGCCCAGTGGTTCAGCCTCCTCAATTACCTGAGGAGGACACTCTTGGTGCACCCCCTTGTGGTCTTTGTGCACAGTCTTGTTGTAGTTAAGCCTTGATTGTTGTAGGTATCACTGGGGGGAATTGGCCTCCAGGCCAATTGGCTGTGAGAATCAGCTGTGTCTGCAGTGAAAGAACTTCTGTGCTGGAGACACCCCTCTGGGGCAAGACTTGCTTCAAAGGGGCTTTGGTGTTCACTGAGTCTGCCCCCTGAGTGTGTCCTTTATGTTTCCATGGAGCTGCAGACTGGATGGTCCCACTCTGGCCTCTGGGCTTCCTGGCTCCTGGATCTCTAGGGAGGTGCTAATCTAGCCTTTGCCTGAGGCTATCCAGCAAAAGCCTCCCTGCAGGGCTTGGGCAGGGCGGGTCCCACAGGATCAACAGGGCGGGGCTAGCAGATATGGCTGCTCTCAGTCCTGCCCTCAGAGGCTTTGCTTCTCAATGTCCCGGTAATCGCTGCAAGCCCCTCGGAGAGAAAGCTGCCCTCGAGTTCCGACCGCTGCCAGACAGTCCCGCTTCTCCCGTATGAGTCTGGGTCCCTAGAGACTCGCCCAGAACTGGAGCTCAGAGCCTGAGACTCCCTCCCGATTGAAAACGACAACCGCGCCCTCAGCCGCCAGCCCGCTCCGTGTGCGCCTCTGTACCTTAGTATTTTACTTCCGCACTGCGCCTCCTCTGAGTCTCGGTATGCTTTTCTCTTTCCTTCTAGTTGTAGAAATTCCACTCAGCCAGCCTTCCTGTGGTTCTGGGTGATGTCCGTTCCGTCTTTTAGTTGTATTTTTGAAGTGGTTGTGCGAGGCAGCAATCTCCGGTGTTTACCTATGCCGCCATCTTGGTTTCCCTAGGTTTTGATTTAATGTTGTGATTGAAGAAATTAATCCTAAACTACAAATGAGATCTTCTCAGGAAGCATTCTTTTTTTTTCCAACTTTCAATTATTTTTAAAATTATAAAAACATACAACCTTGTTATAAAAGTTAAAATAATTGCATATAAAATTTAAAAAAGAAAAATTCCCCCTCACCTCTGCCTTCAATCCTGTCCTGTCTTCTTTCCAGAAGCAACTTGATGTCTGTCATTTTATTTTTTATTATTCGAATTTTTTTTTATTCGAATTTTTGTAAAAGAAAAAACATGGCCTTCGAGCAGATCTTTAAATACATGAAAAGGATATTTGAGAGAGGTGTTTTTGGTAAGCAAGAAAAAATGGTATTCCTTTACTGAACCTTCTAGAAAATGAAATATAAGGAAATAACATATAAGGAATAAGCACTATAACCTGCCTCCCAACTTATACCCAGAGTGACCTTTTCAAATGATCCCGCTCCCCTGAAGATCTTGTAAAACAAAGGGTTTTAGCAGTGAGCTCAAAATGGCCTGTGTAAGTATCAATTCAAAACCTCTACTAAGAATATAGTGAGGGTGGAGTTTTTTGTTTTATTGGGCTTCAGGTATAGAGGATTGAATTAATCATACTCTTTGGTTCAAAACACCTTTTCTCCATGAAATGAAAGGTGGGGTTTTTTCCAGATAGTCTAAAAACAAAGAATGCCTAGCCAGAGGTCCTTCCAGACGTAGTTTAATAAATGGGTAGCAATTAAAAATCATTTTTAATTAGCGTATTTAAAACTTGTATATAAACAGATAGTGTTAAAGTACTTTTAAGGACTTCCAACAAAATGTTTTAACTGGAATTAATAGTTACCCTGTTATTAATTATTTACATTATTTGTGTAAATAATTAAAGTAAACCTTTGCCCAGACTTTGTTAGTATTACAAGAAATTCTGAATGAATGAGTCTTATTACTTAATTTTCCATATGAGAAATGGAGATGGTTGTGAGTAAACAGATGGATTTTTTCTGTTTGCTTGAATTTTTAAGCTGTAAATTTATTTGAATATAAAGATTTTAATGTCTAATAACCTTATTACTTGACTTGAGAGAGAGAGAGATGAAAGGAGGGGGGAAAGAGAGAAACATCAATTTGTTGTTCCACTTACTTATGCATTCATTGGTTGATTTTTTTTTTTTTTATTGAGTTTTTACAGAGAGGAAGGGAGAGAGATAGAGAGTTAGAAACATCGATGGGAGAGGAACATCGATCAGCTGCCTCCTGCACACACCCTACTGGGGATGTGCCCACAACCCAGGTACATGCCCTTGACCGGAATCGAACCTGGGACCTTTCAGTCCGCAGGCCGATGCTCTACCCACCGAGCCAAACCGGTTTTGGCCATTGGTTGATTCTTGTATGTGCCCTGACCAGAGATCAAACCCACAACCTTGGCTTATCCGGACAATGCACTAACCAGTTGAGCTTCCCAGCCAGGGCTGTCTAAGAACCTTTTCAAGATTAAATTACTACTAATTAGTATATGTAAATATGCTTTTATTTACAAATAGCAGGGGAAAAAATCCAGCTCAAACATTTTTCTTATTATAGTATATTAATGGCTTAAAACAACAAATTTTTTTTTTAACCTTATCTTTTCTATGAGTCAAGAATCTGGACATAGTTTATTTAGCATGGAGCCTCTGGTTCAGAGTCTCTCAATGAGGTTGCAGTTAAGCTATCTGCCAGGACTATGATGTCATCTGAAGGCCCAAATGGAAGAAGATCCCCTTCTCCAAGCTCATTCATGTGGTTGTTGGCAGGATTAGTTCCTCACAGGTTATTGAACTCAGGGCCTCAGTTTCTCACTGACCCTTGTCTAGAGACCTCTTCCAGTTCCTTGCCACATGGATCTCTCTACAGTGCACCTCACAACTTGGCATGTGGCTTCCCTCAGAGAGAGACAGTGCCCAAGGTGGAAGCCACACTCTTTTTGTAACTAATCTCAGAAGTGACATCCCATCACTTTTGCTGTATTCCAGGACCAGTTAGAAACTAATCACCAGGTCTAGCCCACACTTAAGGTGAGGGGATTGTATAAGGATATGAATACCAAGAGGCAAGGATCATTAGGGGCCAACTTAGAAGCAGTCTGCTGTAGATGGCAAAGTTCCCAGTTTAATACAGAGTGGGGCAAAAGTAGGTTTAAAGTTCATATGGGAAATACAATAATTAATCAGAATAAACTGTTTTGTGTACTCACAACTATAAACCTTCTTTTGTCCCACCCTGCATATAACATACTCACTGTCCAAGTGAGAGTCTTGAACTTCACACTAAATTCAGGGCACCCCTGAACCAATCCATGTGGCCACAGGTATGCTATAAGCTAACCCATTCGTTCTGTGAAGGGATGGGGCAGAGGAGGATTTTCTTATTGACCTAGACCAGTGGTCGGCAAACTCATTAGTCAACAGAGCCAAATATCAACAGTACGACGATTGAAATTTCTTTTGAGAGCCAAATTTTTTAAACCTAAACTATATAGGTAGGTACATTGTTATTAACTTAATTAGGGTCCTCCTAAGGCTTAGGAAGAGCCATACTCAAGGGGCCAAAGAGCCGCATGTGGCTCGCCAGCCGCAGTTTGCCGACCATGGACCTAGCCAGGGGTGGGCAAACTTTTTGACTTGAGGGCCACAATGGGTTCTTAAACTGGACCGGAGGCCCGGAACAAAAGCATGGATGGAGTGTTTGTGTGAACTAATATAAATTCAAAGTAAACATCATTACATAAAAGGGTACGGTCTTTTTTTTTTTTTTTAGTTTTATTCATTTCAAACGGGCCAGATCCGCCCGTGGGCCGTAGTTTGCCCATGGCTGTAGACCCTTCAAAGCCTACCCCTCAAGCTGTATTATGAACTTGGATCTATTTCACTCAAACCATTATTGCTATATAAATGAAAAATGGAGTATTGGGAAAACAACAGTTTTTTCAAAAGCTGGTAAAATATTTTAGGTGTTTTATTCAGACTGTCTTTTTTTTTGCTTCACAGGTGTACTTCATGAAGAATGAATAGAAAATGAACTGTACACCATTTCTAGAATTCTGGCCACAATAATGGTCTGGTGATGACTGACAGCTAGCTTTGTTCCAAGAAAAACCTTTACCTTCTCAGATTTCAACCCCTTCCCTCCCAGCCCCTAACTATACAGAGTGACTTCCCAGGTAGAGGGGAACCATTATTCCAACAAGGATATACAAGTCCTTACATCCCTGGCTATAAGACATAGGATTTTTATCTGAAAATAAATGAATATTTAAGAAAATATTGCCGAACCGGTTTGGCTCAGTGGATGGAGCGTCGGCCTGCGGACTCAGGGGTCCCAGGTTCAATTCCGGTCAAGGGCATGTACCTTGGTTGCGGGCACATCCCCACTGGGGGGCGTGCAGGAGGCAGCTGATCGATCTCTCTTGTCGATGTTTCTGGCTCTCTATCCCTCTCCCTTCTTCTCTGTAAAAAATTCAATAAAATATATTTTTTAAAAAGAAAATATGATGTCCATTTATTTATTTATTTGGATGATTCCATCACAATACTTGACCAAAAAAAAAAAAAATTGAGAAAAGTTCTATTTTGGCCTCATAGTCTAAACTCTAGATTCTAAAGAACAATAAAGAGGTCAATAAATGCAGTTGGAGAAAAAGCCCTTTGGAAGCCTATTCATTAGTCTTTTAAAGAAGCTGACTGTGGTGTAATGTGGTTAACCTCACATGTCCAAATCAGAAATATCCCAGAACTTTCTGGACTCGATTTTTTTTTAAAAAGCAAGGGGATGGGGAGGGGCAGAGTGTGGAATCTAGAGTTTGTTTTCAAGAGAGACCATCTCTAGAATTTACACTGCTTTTTCAAAATGTGTATTGAAGCATGCAAGTTAACAGAGCCTTCAGGGTAGTTAAAGGGGCCCCAGACAATTTGAGCAGCTTTACTGGAGGGAAAAGAAACAAAAACAAAATCAGATCTATACTCTGGGACACTGGAAGAAATGCCAGCTGCTAAATGCCCAGCCACAGAAAGGACCAGAAAGCAGCCTGGTACACAACAAACAGGAATCTACAAGCTCTGCAAGGTCACAGGCTACAGTATTAATATACAAATATCAATTGTTTTTGTATACTAGCAATGAAAATCCCAAAAATGAAATTAAGAAAATAACTCTAGGCATGCTCTTCCTTCTGGGAGCATGCCCACACTCCTCCCTCTCTTCTTCCCCCACAGGTGTGCATCTCCTAAACGCTAAGGGACTCCATGAGATTTGCAACCAGGGAGCAATGGGCAGCAGCTCATCCTGGTTTAATACCCTGAACCTGTCCCCCAAACCCCCTTTTTTCTGACTCCAGTGAGCCAACAGCAGCCCTGCCTAACCTCAGTTCTTTCCTATAACGTTTCTAGAGACCAAAGTAGCCCTGCCTAGGCTCTCTCCTGTTGATCCTTCTATCCTAGGCCCTTCCTTGTTTCAGTGTCCCGTTTTAATAAACCTACTCCCCCAAAAAGAAAGCAAATCATTCCATCCAAAATACTAACAAAAGAAATATTTAAGAATAAATTTAACAGAAGAAGTACAAGACTTGTACAATGAAAACTATAAACAGAGAAATTAAGGGAGGTAAATAGAGGTATTCCATGTTCATGAATTAAAAGATTTAATATTGTTAAGATGGGAATTGTCTTTTAAAAGTTTATTTAAAAATAAATGCAAACCCTATCAAAACCCCAGCAGGCTTTTTTGAAAAATTGGCAAGCTGATCCTAAAATTTCTAGGGAAATTCAAAGGATCCATAATAGCCCAAACAGTTCTGAAAACGAGGAACACTTCCTGATTTCAAAACTTATTACAAAACTACAATAATCAAGACAGTGTGATATTGATATAAAGATAGACAGAAAGATAAGTGGAACAGAACTTGAGTGTCTAGGAGTAAGCCCTCATATTTATGGTCAATTGATTTTCAACTAAGGTGCCAAGCCATTTCCATGAAGAAAGGATAGTCTTTTCAACAAATGGTGCTAGAACATTTGGATATCAGATGCAAAAAAGATTAATTTAGACCCTTACCTCCTACCATATACAAAAGTAAATTCAAAATGAATCAGAGACCTAAATATAAGAGCTAAAACTAAAACTTTTAGGAGAAAACCTACATGGCATTGGTTTAGGAAAAGAGTTCTTAGATAAGATCCCAAAAACAAATCAGGGCACATGCCTTGGTTGTGTGCTCAGTCCCCAGAAGCGGGCGTGCAGGAGGCAGCCAGTTGATGATGTTTCTCTCTGATGGATGTTTCTATCTGGCCTTCTCTCTCCCTCTCTTCCTAAAAAAAAAAAAAAAAAAGACAGTGTTGGTGGGATGTGAAGAAACAAGCCCTAATACATTGCTGGTGGGAAAGTAAAATGGTGCAGCCAGATTCAAAAAACAATCTGGAGGTTTCCTAAGCTAAATATAAGTTCACCATATGACCTAGAAATTACACTTGGTGTCCCACCCCCCAAAAAAGGAAAACATGTTTATAAGACTTACAGGCAAATATTCATAGCATCATTGTTCATATTAGGGAAGCAACCCAAATGACCATCAACTGGTACATGGATAAACAAAAAATCCATACAGTGGAGTACTGATACATGCTATAACACAGCTAAACCCCAGAAACATTATGCTAAGTGAAATAAGTCTGACACAATAAACCATATAAGGTATGATTCCATTTTATAAAATATCAAAAAAGAAAAACCTCAACTAGATACTAGATTGGTGGTTGCATGGGCAGGGATGGGAACAGGGATCATCTGCAAATGGGGGTGATGAAATGTTCTAAAATTAAATTATGATTTTTGTACAACTTTGTAAACTTTAAAAATAATTGCTTTGTGCACTTAAGACAGGTGAATGTTATGTATATACATTATCTCAATAAAGGTGTTACAGGTGATGTCCATACTATCCAAAATAATCTACAGGTTCAATGGCATTTTCACAGAAATAGAATAAATAATCCTAAAATTTGTATGGAACCACAAAAGACCTCGAATAAACAAAGCAATCCTATGAAAACATGCTCAAAGTCACTAATCATCCGAGAGATGCAAATCAAAACAACAATGAGGTACCATCTCACACCTGTCAGACTGGCTATCATCAACAAATCAACAAACGACAAGTGCTGGAGAGGATGTGGAGAAAAAGGAACACTTGTGCACTGCTGGTGGGAATGCAGACTGGTGCAGCCACTATGGAAGACAGTATGGAGTTTCCTCAAAAAACTGGAAATGGAACTCCCATTTGACCCTGTGATCCCACTTGTAGGAATATATCCCAAGAAACCAGAAACACCAATCAGAAAGGATATGTGCACCCATATGTTCATAGCAGCACAATTCACCATAGCTAAGATCTGGAAACAGCCTAAGTGCCCATCAGTAGATGAATGGATTAGAAAACTGTGGTACATCTACACGATGGAATACTATGCTGCTGTAAAAAAGAAGGAACTCTTACCATTTGCAACAGCATGGATGGAACTGGAGAGCATTATGCTAAGTGAAATAAGCCAGTCAATGAAGGAAAAATACCACATGATCTCACTCATTCATGGATTATAAAGACCATTACAAACTTTTGAACAATAATAGATACAGAGGCAGAGCTGCCTCAAACTGATTGTCAAACTGCAGTGGGAAGGCCAGAGAGGGTTGGGGGGCAGGAGGGAGGGGAGTAAGAGATCAACCGAAGGACTTGTATGCATGCATATAAGCATAACTAATGGACATAAGACACTGGGGGGTAAGGGAGGGCAGGGGATTGTCAAGGGCGGGGGCGGGGGGGAAGGACACATATGTAATACCCTTTGTAATACTTTTAGCAAAAAAAAAAAAAGATACAGAGAAAAACAAAAACAAAGCAATCTTGAGAAAGAAGAATATACCTGGAGGCATCATGCTCCCTGATTTAAAACTATATTAAAGCTATAGTAATCAAAACAATATGGTATAGGCATAAAAACAGACTCATAGATCAATGGAACAAAATACAGAGCCCAGAAGTAAACCCACACATATATGGGTCCATTTATAACAAAGGGGCCAGAATATACAATGGGGAAAGGATAGTCTCTTCAATAGGTACCCTTGGGAAAACTGGTCAACCACATGCATCTATCATACACAAAATGTATTAAAGTATTGAATGTAAGACATGAAACCATTAAACTCCAAACTAAAAAGCTTCTGCACAGCAAAGGAAACTAATGAAACAAAAAGGCAACTATGGAATGGGCAAAGATATTTGCAAATCATATTTCTGATAAGGGGTTAATATCCATAATATATAAGAAATCATACAATTCAATAGCTAAAAGAAGAGCAACCCATTTTTTAAAAGGGCAGAGCCCAGCTGGTATGGCTCAGTGGTTGAGCACCAGGAGGTCACGGTTCAATGCCTGGTCGGGGCACATGCCCAGGTTGTGGGCTCAATCCCCAGTAGGAGGCATGCAGGAGTTGAGTCAGCCCATCAATGATTCTCACCATTGATGTTTCAATCTCTCTCTCCCCCTCTCCCTTCCTCTCTAAAAAAAAAAA